TATAATTATATGTTACAATGGTAACCAGTCTAAATAGACCATTATTACCAATCTCCTAAAATATCGCTCGGTGAACGGACAGGATGTGGATATTCAGATTAGATTCGATACTTTTCGAGTAGTCTGTTCTGCTCTCTGGAAATATTTTTTTCATGCTTTTACCGCTTTAACAACCGAACAAACTATTTAGTTGTGTATTTTAAGAAACTTTACACGCGCCGTTTTGAAAATGTTTTTTTTACAAATAATCACGTTTTTTGAATAAAATTTGTAAACACACTGTATAATACCCAGAGTTAGTATAAGATGTAGTTACATGGACTTTATATGAAGGCATATCGCTCACCTGGGTGCAATAGTGCCACATCCACAAAATAATAGTTACCACAAAATTAGTGATTTAGGAAAATAAAAACTGAAATATTGAGATAACTCATATCAATTTTGCTACTTATTACAACATTTAAAGTCTTTATAATTATATACTGATTTGTATTATTCTCCATTTAAAACAAAAAATATTTTTTGAGGTTCTTTTTTGTACCGTTATTGATTTTTTGTTGTACACATCTATTTCACAAATAAAGTGCATATTTTGAAAAAACAATTCTCATCACTTTATTATAAAATTATAACACGGCAGGTGCATATGCGAGATAGGCACATAGTAATAGGTAATAGTAGAAAAACTCAAAATGGAAATTAATAACTAATTAAAAAATGTGCCTTTATAAGCTTTGGCACGTAAACAGTAACTACAAAAAACATCGAAAAGCCATAACTAAAAAACAACCGATATATGTCGAAGTAGGTATTGTTTCTAAAATACCTTTAGTTTTTGATAGACAGCTACTGTTCTTAAAATTAGAAAAAACAAGAATTATCATCATGACACGTAAACAAAGCTAAGCTATTCTACAGTAAACGACCAACTGAACTGGCTTTTGGAAAATAAACAAAAAGTACAATTTTCAAAGTAACTAAAAAACCGTGACATTTCAGGCTTTGGCACCTTTCAGGCTATTATAAAAGTGACTATAACATTTTTTAATAGCACTACATTTTAGCAAATCCATTAAGTCATTAAACTTTTTTTTTGGAATTGATATAACACCTCAATAACCACGGTCTAGATACATATTTCCAAAAGATGTGAAAGTCGCGCCTGCTCACATGTTTTTTTTGAGTAATGTTTATGCTTTTGTAGTAAGTTTCACTAAAAGATATTTTATAGAAAAATGTGTCAGAAGAATCTTTTGCTACTTTGAAAACACACACGTCATTTATTTTGATAATATTGCCTGAACCGTCCCAGTGAAGCCTAAAAGAAGTTTGAGTTACCAGTTTTTTAAAATCAAAAAAAAAACGTAACTTATCTCCACGACTTTACAAGGAGTTCTAGTCTTCTTGGCGGTTTTACTAATATTACGTACTCTGCGGTGATCACAGACACTGATTTGTGTCGGTTTTGCGCGGCAGATCGATAAAAAACGCGGGAAATTCAATAGTGGCATTAACTCTAGTGGAACTGAAGTAAGATTACTCTGTGCCGGTATTGTTCGTTGTTAAAATAGAAATGTGCGAGTTTTATGGTACAATTAACTAAAAATAGCTATTTTTTTATATGTGCCATTATTCCACCAAGTGAGCGATATTTTGTATGTGATATTCGATATTGGATCATGAAAAACTCACGATAGAAAATGCTAGACCACTGCAAAACTTACCGTTAGAAAAGAAGTTTCCAATAATATTTGATGCAAAAAAGCAACCGTAATGTTAACAAACCGACGGACGCAATATGGAGTCACTATAAGTAAATCTGATCTACTTCAAACTCAGGCACCTCTACCAAGATACCTATCATTCCTGTATTATTTGGCTATGATATGAAAATATCAGTATTGCTAAGAACACTTTAAGTAATATTTAACTATCAGGTATAAATTCATGAACCTAATATGATTATTTACTTCCATCCATGATTGAATATTATAATATGTTTCACTGCCATATGCAGTTTTCCATTTATAGATACGGATAATCTTATATACATTAGTATTCATTTTTTTCACTGTGATTAAATTAAAACGTATCAAAATCAGTGTATAGAACCGGAAACAGTTTTTCGAGAGAAAGTTTCGCGAAGTGTTTAATGAAGCGGATGTTTAAAGTGACACTTTGCAGACGTTAAGTTTTATAAACTGCAATTTAGTGTTTTTAATACACGAGTGACTAAAGTACCGGAAGTGGACAATATTAGAAAACTAATCAGAGTCAAGATGTCGGAGCGTCATAGCTGCAGCTTCGAATACCTCTGAGAAAAGAATGCATCCAGTGATGACGTTGCTTTCGGATCGAACTTCAATAATAAAATACATATTCGGCTTTTAGAGACTGGAAAGACGAGTAAAAGAGCGACGGCAGATACTTCCACCGGCTCGCCTAATTATTGTATAATTTCAAGGTGACCGTATATACCTTACATGTAGGATCCGATAGTCGTAAATACTACTATGTGTCTTCGGCCAGGTAAATTTTCGGTACCTGTTTTCTCTCTTCGCTCAATACAATTTTATTCCATGCATTGCGATGGGGTCTCGCTGTCCGTCTTCTATGGGATTCTAAATAAACTTTTTATATTTCGCGTTGTTTTGTTCGATCGGCCGAGGCGGCACCGTGGCAGTTGTTTGGGTTTTATCGTTTCTCTTCGCACGTTTCCAGACCAGCAATTTTTATAGCATGGCGTATCAGTTCTAACCTAAGGAGCAGCGTCTCTAAAGTTTGACATTGTTTTTTAAGGGCATCCGGATAAAATATTTGCATCAATCTTTCTTGTGTTTTATTTAACATTGAGCAGGACTTACATTTAAGATCAGTTTTAGAAATCAGTTTTAAGTTCCGCTAATTTCTAGGGTAAATGTGCAAGAAGTTGGAGGCTTTGATGTGGGCGTATCGTAGGATACTTAAGATACCCTGGACAGATAGAATTACAAATAAAGAAATAAACAAAGAAAGAGACGATTTAAACATCATTAAACGTCGAAAACTGGAGTATTTTGGTCACGTTTTGCGTAATAACAAATACACACTTATTACACGTCATTATCCAGAGAAAGAGAGAGCGTAAACGAAGGCCAGGACGTCGTAGAACATCGTGACTGAAAACCTACGCCAGTGGGAAGGACATATCACTATGTCTCTGTTCAGAAAGACCGCCAATAAAGTACAAGTTATGCTTTTCGTCGCCAACGCTCTAGGAGGGCAGAAGAGCACTTCACGAAGAAGAAACGTAACTGAAATGTCTCCTTTAGAAGATACGGAGCTTTAACAGAAGCCCAAAAAAATCTTTGCTGCTGACAGAACTTATGTTAAGTTAGTAATATTATTTGAATTTAAACAAAAGCACTTTCGTATAATTGAAAACATCTTTCTGCAAAAAAGAAATTTTCTCATAAAAAAAACATAGGGAGCAATTGAGTATCACTCTTCCCCTTTAATGACACTACTGTACAAAATATTTACTTTTATGACTCAATAAACGATATTTGTGGTTCAAATTTCAATTAGGTAACTTAAACAGTTTCTTAAATATTTTTTTAAAAAATATTTGTTTTTTTTTACATTTGAACAAAGTATTTTCGGACAAACAATATAAAAAACACTTGGTATATTGTCTGGAGAGCGTTTATAACGCTAACTTTGTGACTAATTAATTTCGTATATACAACATACAATTAAATTGCATCAAATCCTTAAAAAAGATAGAGAGGCCATTTTTTCGAACCCCCATTAAATTTGAAACATACCTAATAAGCCTTTTTCAGTTCCCATTTCTGCTGAATAAAAAAACAACGATTTCATAGAAGATTTAAACTCCTAAATTATTTTTTGAACAATTACATTCTCCAATTGTTATATAAATACGAAATATACATAATATAAAAATAAGAGTGATCAAATTTCCGCTTAAGTGCGCATTTTTTAACTATCCACCATATGTAATGAAAATTAAAATTTTCGTGTGACTGCTTTCGGGAACTCGTAAATGGATATACATAAATCGAATTGGTGCATTTCCGAAATAATAACATGTTTGCGTGTTTCTGAAAAACCATTAGGCAGTAGCACGTTTTTATTATTTGAAGTAGATTATTCTAGAGTCCGAGAAAGACAAAAATGCGGTTGACAACGAATTGAACATTTCTTATTTTAATATTTTAAACCGATATCCGTTTTTTAGACCTATAGTTTGCCAAATTCCGTTCAACTAAACCAGAGATGAGGGACTTTAATGAAAAAAAAAACTTTATTGTACTTCCACCAACACCAAGTATTAGTATTGGTATTGAAATATTGAAAGCATTGAAATTTTTTTTTAGAAAAATATTTATGTGGATCGATTTTCTATCAAACATGATAATCTGTACAGTTCATGAGATGTGAAACTTCGCCAGCACTAAAATTCAGTAGCGTCCATTTCAAAATAAAAATTTTTTTTGGAAATTTCATATATCTTGGGTTATGCATATTTTAATATATTGCTTGTTTTCTCATTTTTTACAAAAAATAAAGAAAACACTTTGTTAGTTTTGTAGTTCATTTATACTTAATATAAGTAATCTTAAATCACTATTCACATAAATCAAGAATGGTTGGTTGTGTAAAAATTCCCCACAAAGAACAGTAAAAATGAAACTGCGTGTTACAGTAAAAGAAATATCAAAACTTTTACTGTATAAAAATGATTCGTCATAGTTTCGCTAGACTCGAGGCAAACAAAATTACCATAAATTGCGGAAAAAAACAAACCCATAAAGCAAACTCATACACCAACCATGTCGCACGCATGCCACCATATTCTCAGCCACACGAATCGTCAGATTACTATTGGTAGGGAGAGCGAGAAGTACCGTCGCATGGAAGGAAGAGAAAAACGAATTATTCACACTATTCACACACCTTGATTGGACAGCGCTGTGGTTGCATAGCCTGCTTACCTTTGACGATATGAGCGTCAAAGTTGGCGAGGATTCCTGAAACAAAAATTAATGCTCAAGTCAGTTACAAACAATTAAATATTTAAAATATATATATAATTTAAATATTTAAAATCGCAATTAAAGACCGTTGATTCTGTCTTATACACCTTTCGGAGCTGTGAAATGTTTGATATATTATTGAATTCATTCCATTTTAGATATGCCTTACTCAATTCATATTATAAACGTATATGAGATTCCTAAAATCAGATTCATGTTATAAATTATATTTGCAAGCCCGCTGCAAGATTTTTAATTGAATCTGGCACGTTTATCAGTAAACTACACAAACTACACAAACGGTATCCCTGAATTAACATCAGAAAGAATAAATTGCTCGAAAACTAAAGAACAAAAACTGGGTATAAGGGTAAAGCATATAGTTGCTAGATATATGACCTTGCAATGTTGATAATTTTTGAAGCCAACAAAACCAACAAGTCTTGTAATTTCACATCTTGCTTTCAACCATATATCTTTTAAATAATATAGTGGCTCTCTTACGCTAAAAATTGATGCGTCACAGAAGGCATCGATATTTTCGTAGAGAAGATTTTCCGCGGATGCCTCTACATTTCTCCCACTAACCTTACTTTGCACAATTTTCATTCTAACAAGCCATTTTCACACTTAACTCATTTTCCAAGAACATTTCACGAGATCTAGGTATATTTTTCGAAAATACTACCCAAAACTTATTGACGATTTGTCAGCGGCCATGTTGGTGTTTTTCATAGTTGCTTCATAAGTTCCAATATAGCCTCTCATAGTTTGTCTACTCAAAAAAAAATTAATTTGGAAATGGCATTTTTTCGGTAGTATTTTATGAAAATATGGCCAGATTCCAGTAAATTTTCAGAGAAAAATCGAGTTAACTTTATGGATATCGCTGTTTGAAAAGAAAATAGCGCAAAGTACAGTACAATACAGTGCTTGAAATTTGAGCAAACTATATGAAAATGCCGTAGTATACAATTTTTATAGCCTGTAAAATATGTAACAGATATATTGGTGAATTTCATAACATGATAACTAAGTAAATAAGGATTCAAATATAAAGACAAGAACGACACAACAAGGAAGAACTTTAAGATATTTAAATGATGAACTATAGAACATAATATACAATTCGTTAATGAGAAAGATAGAAAAAACGAGATTTGAGACCGCCATGTAAGGATGGGAAAGTCGAGTTCGAACCGAAATCGGAATAAAGGACCACCAAATCATAGAAGGGACAATTACGAAAATATGAAAAAGAGAGTTCAATATGAATGTAGTTCGTAAAATCGTGTATTGGTACATATCTAGTTTGTAACAAGTTACAATTGTGTACTTTAATGTGTTTATAGAATTATAGACATAGTACTGGCAAAGCACATAACAAATTTTTTAAAATTCTTCGTAGGCAATAATACCTACGGCGGACAGCGAAACCTACGCCTTCTAAAACCATATGGTAATACTAGAAAATTGTTTAACTGCACGTTCGTAGTTTCCAGGAAACTTGATATCTGCCGGTAATTTCAATTCATCACGAAACATCGTGTTAAAATTGTTTTCGTCTGCCCGAATTTACCGTCTAGTTTGTTTTTTATTTTTTGGTCGAATCCACCTGCTACTTTGTATAAAATTTCAATTATATACGCCGGATTAATTACCCATGTTCGGGACGAACCGCATAATTGCAGAAATAAATAACATTTCAATGCGAAACACAGGGAGGGGTTTGTCGTCAGTTGACCGGTGCTTCAGCCCTATTTTGGAGTTTACGAATAATAATTATTTACACGATTTAATTCCTATTATAACGATGAGTTCTGGATTCAAGGCTCAACTTGTGCCTCGTAATAGAATTTAATGTCTATCTTTGTTCCAGGCCTTATTTCAGAATCAAGAATAGGGAGTAATTCGCCAAATTTTCTAGCTCGTGTTCTTTGAGGCAGATGTTGCCACTTCGCGCACAGCGCAGCGGGCAGGTGACTAGGCAGAAACAAAAGACCAAGCAACGTTGCCAGACCAATAGAGAACAAACACTGCCATTTTCTGTAAATTCTTCTAAAAATTAGAAGAGTTAATAAATGTCAGACGAACTAGTGAAAACTGATGAATAAATTATAAAAAATGGATAAAAAATTAGGAATAAATCTCTCATCAACTATTTGGCTAAATATTATATATCAACAGAGTCTGATGCCTTACGTATCCGGTTTATCAGACGAACAAAGATTGTAGAGATGGGAGAGATGAATTCTGCATATTACTTCTATACGCTATTGTTCTACAATGGCAAGGAGTTAATGAAAAAAAAAACAATGTAATCAAGTTCACACTTTTGCAGACTTATTTTAAGCACAACAAAATGAACCTAATTAGAATATATGAATGGATCATCAAGATTACATCCAAACTTACAGCAAGGCCCAGCACTCATTTCCTAGCTTTTATATAACGCAGTTTGCAGTTCCTTTTGAACCTCACTTTTTATAATATTCTATTTAGTGGCAGATACTGCTTTAGGCTCTAAGATACTTCCTTGTGGAGTTGCAGTCATTCAAACGGAAGTTAAAAATAAAAGATATTCTTTATTTTTGACAACAGTGGAATAACAGGTAGAGGTTAGTTTCTCACAACACTTTAAAATATTTTACATAAAGCTAATACTATTTTGTGTACGGAAGTGAGGAAGCCACATTTTGTGTCTAATTTTAGCAATGTCGGAGGAGAGTAAATATATGTTTGAAAATAAAGATTTATAAAAAGAAAGTAAAAAATATAGGTCTGTCGAAAATTCTCATATATCAAGTACGAAAAGTGATCTCAAGCCCACGCAAAAAACTCCTAGCTTTTAATATCATATTTTACTGTACTCACCAATACAAAAAAGGTTTAAGAGAAAATACCATGAACCCTTATCACCATTAACTTTGCCAACAAAATTAATAAAATAATAAATTTGGAAATGATTATAAATAGATTATTTTTATATATCGCTTAAAAAGGCCTTAGGAAATTTTGTTCAAGTACCTAGTTCACCCCTTTCAATCAAATGATCTATTAGATAAAGCAATAGATAGTACTTAGTGAATTCAAATAGCCGGTGTATTTTAAGGCTTTTACTGAGTAGTAAAAAACTTCTAATTCCTCATAAAAATGGCGGACATACGGCAACGGCGCTTAGAGTCGTATTTGTGCCAAACTGGCTTATATAATAACCCAACCTATATTTGGCCCAGACGTTCAGCAATGCCGTTTGGACTTTTTGTTGGGTCGTTTTTCGGACCCTGTGAATTTTATGCATCGAGCACCGTGCCCAAGGTCAGTACGGGAGTATCGAAACGAAATGGAGAGTTTTAAATTTCGGCTCTAACCGCCGACCGACAATGCAAAAGAGGTGTTGCTGCAGCGGCCGAATATATATCACTTTTTTGTGGGTTTTTTTTTATCGCAGTCATTTCAACGCAAACTAATTCCGATGTTGGAAAGCAAATGACAAAAGCGAAAAACAAGTAGAGTTTCTGTGAAGTTCATTTTTTTAATTTTAAATTGCCACCTGTGTACTTTTGAGTCCTTAGTCATTTGATTGAAAGAACAATGTTTCATTGAAGTATTTAAAATAAAATTTTCTAAACTATTCTTGAAAGACGTATTTAATTTTTTTCCAATTTCTTACAATTAAATCGTTTTCAAATAGCAACATTTTTTTCCATTTTCGTTACGTATTTTAATCAATTCAATTTCTTGTGGTTAAAATCATGCCATAAAATTAAATAATTTTTTGAAAATATGGTTTACATAGATATTCATTAATTTAATTTAAATTTCGAGTTTAATAATTATAACCGTCAATAATTGCGTTGTCACAACAAGATTGTTATTATGTCAATTAAAAAAATAATTTTAAGTTAAAAATGTTAAAAATCCAATAACATATATGTAATAGAGATTAGTAGTTATTCCACTGCAAAACGGCAAGTGAATTTTGTAAGAATTATCATATATTATTATTATTATTATATACTCCAACTAAGAAATAGAAAATTAAAGTAGTATGAAATTATTTCACATCAGTAATAATTGCGTAATCAATTTTTTCCAGGAACGAGTTTCCTGAGCATAGAAAAAAGCCCTGAAATTTGGTCGGCAGCCTTTTTGCGATTTAACCAAACAAAAATTATAAAACTCAGTAAAAATGTGCCATTTATGTCTCCACAGTAAAAGATTGGATCAATGTCATAATTTTCGTCATTTTTACCTGTACTATTATATTTATGGGGATATACCTGGATTTACGACGGTAAAAATTACAGCCATATTTTTTTTGCGCAACTGTGACCGCAGCCGGTATTGTCGGGGACCACCCGGTTGGTTTTATAGATAATTGGAAATTGCTGCCTTTTGGAGAGAGGAAATGGTAATTCATAATTTTAGAAAAAGATCAATTTTGAACAAAAAGCAAAAAAAATTGCGCACATGTAATGTAATATTTGTGTTGAATCAGGTTTAAGAAACCAATTATCAGTTTTAATAGAGAATTTAATTTTAATTATTTTCAAAGTGGGAGTTGAAACTAAATATTTTTCATTATTATGATACCCGACAAAAATAGCTTTCTCTTAATATTTGATTTCTTTGCTATTTGCTACAAATCGAATATTTATCTTCCGAAATATCATAGCTATGGTTGCAATTAATTAGCAAAATAAATAAGAACTAAAAGTTCAGATTTTCACGAAATTATATATTATGACATGACAATTGTTTCGACAACACCGTGTCTTTATCAGATGTCACACATGTCATGTCATAATATATAATTTCGTGAAAATCTGAACTTTTAGTTCTTATTTATTTTGATAAATGGATTTTCATCAAGTAAAAGCCACCTCAGTTCAAGCAATTAATTAGTTCTGTTTTTCAGAGATGACCGATTGCACCTAGTGCAATAACGGTGAAAAACATAAATCACGATGATGTTACTTATGGTGGGGAAT